TATGCATTTCTAATATGGTTGTTCATATCGGGTTGATTATGCTATAGCAAAAAAAAATTTGCACAAGTCAGCCCAAGACCTTATCGAGCCGGAAGGTAATCCATTGAGCCATGCATTGGCGTGATCTTTCAAAGAATATGGAAATAACTTCAATTTCAGTACATCTTCATGCACACCTTGTTGTCGAAAGCAGTCACAAACATCCAAAAATGCTCTAACATGTTGTCTTGCATCCTCATGAGGAGCACCACCAAATTGTCCAATAAAGTCCAACATGTCGAACATAACCGGTTTGAGCTCAAAGTGGGTTGCATGAATCATGGGTGCCATAATTCCAGGATTTAGGTCGTCCATGATAGGGTTTAAATGATCTTGAATTCTACAAGGCCTAGTTGCATTCCCAGCATTCGGAATTACCTCGGTATTCTGATATTCCTGTTGACCCATTCCTTGATTTCCAATTTGATACATATTTGCTTGAACACGTTGAGTGTGTAAAATAAAAGCCTGAAAAAGACAAGGAAAATAACAAGTAAAACTATACAAAAAATTGAACAAGTAAAATAAAAATGCTATGACAAAACTAATTAACTTCCAGTTGCCAATTCCCCGACAACGGCGCCAAAAACTTGTCTGCTCTTTGTGAGTACTAAATATGAGTGTGGATATATGTGCAAGTATACACAATCGAACAAGTAATACAATGATAAGTGAGTATCGTCTCCACATGAATTGGAGGAAATTAAATAAGTTTGTCAAGGTACTTTACTTTGTCACCTAAGTAAAGTTAGTAATGGTATACACAAATGATAATGCATGGGCAAAATTGAATGACTGGTGTGGAAGTGGAACGATGGTAATGTGGTAGCAAATGGATATGTCGTGGCAAAATAGATTGTGTTTAATGCAAACAAATGAAAATGTCAAGGCAAAATAAAATATAAATATATGATTTGATTAATAGGACTTTGGCTTTCTCACACAACAAGTAACTATGGAAGTGAATGATAGGAGTCACTAAGGAAAATCTAAGTCTACTTCTCCGAATGGTCTTTCTTCTATACCTAGTCTGCCCGACAGAGTCTACTAAGGTGCCCTATGCTATCTCTAGTAAGGGACTCGACAAATTAAAGATGCCCTGGCAAAACCGATTGGCGTAAACCCCTGCAGTGATCCTATTGGTCCAGATAACAGGATATATCTCGACAATACCTTTTTACGGCAGCATTAACATCTAACCTATCGTTCATGCATAACTCCTTTTAGTCGAATGAAATCCTAGCCTTATCTCTAAGGTGGATTAGGCCTAGTTACTACCTAGAACCCCTTGTTTATGTAGTTCCTCCCTAGTTTCTCTCGAACACTAAGGATATATTACCTAGGTATTCTCTCGAACCCTAAGAATCTCCTAAGGAATGGCTACTCTCGTAGCTCTTACAACCTTAAGGCATTAAACTCCATAAACAAAACAGATTACAGCATAGAAAAATCAACCATTCATTGAAATAAAACTTAAACATCCAAAATGAACTCCCACCAAATAGGATTAATTCATGGTGGGGTTCGAAATAAGCAAGCACAAAACAAGATTATACGTTCCTTACAACCCAAATAACAAAATATGAAAGCAAAGAACTAAGGGAAGGAGAAAAAACCTTTGACGTATACTGCCGGAGCTTCCCCTCGGCCACTACAAACTACCCCCAGCAAACTAGCTCCTCTCGGATGCCTAGAATGCCACTCCCGCAGGCTTGCCACGGAGAAATACCACGGCAAGTAGGATTGACGGAGAAAGATGAGACCTTCTTTGTCTAACTTTTTAAGCTCAAATATGGGTGGAACCAAAGTTTTCAACAATGTGGTTTTATCCTTTATTTATAGGGGAAAACTAATCCTAGGACTTGGTGTTAACTTTCCTAGAAAACCCTAAAACCATAGTTGAGTTGCTTGGGAGTTGGGCAGGACAGGCTATGATATAGCCTGGGTAGTTGGCTGAGTACCCGGCATAATCCCGCTGCAGACACCCAAGGACAGACAGGATCTGCAGAGCAGCGGCGTGGTCAGCAGGATTGACTGTAGCAGCGCCGACCCCTCCAGGCGGAACTTCGAGGTAGATTTCTCGGGCAGAGATCACGGAAAGTAGGAGACAGCTAGCTAAAAATATCTTCTTGCACTTGGCTCGCTTTCGAAATGCCAATCCAACTTGGCATTTTCATTCTGCTCAGCAGTCTCCTTATGTCACGACATTTTCGTTTCTCTTTTCCTTGCTCTCAATTCCTACACATCATTAGACAAACACCTTCTCCATAAGGTAACACTGATGACAAATTAAAATGCCGCGACAAACCGAATTCCACCACATGCAACTAAATGCTTCTAAATGCATCTACATGGTCCTAAATGAGCTCTTAAACATTCAATAACTTAAATGAAAAGGTCCCAAAATGTGACATTTTACGGAGTTATCATGGACCTTGTGCTATTTTTTTAAAATGAGACCCCTAAGATATTTTATAATAAATTAAAATCACATTTTAAAAAAAAGAATATCGAAATTGGGATGAACATAAATAAAAATTTGTTTTTCGTTAAAACCACATAAATTTGGTATTTTTTAGGAATAATTGATTACAATTAAATTCTTGAGATAACAATGGAGAAAATTAGGTCTTTTGTTAAATATTGTAAAGAAAAAATAACTTTTTCTAAGTTAGTAGATTTTTTTCAAAATGTGAAGCCCCAAATTTTGAGACCCTATAATGTATCACATGCTACACTTGTCAATAGATGAGCTCAACAACCTATAAGTCTCAAGATCCTACAATAAAATGATCATTGTATACATTTATTTCAATTTTGGAAAGTCTTAAACCATACATAAATCATTTGATTATCTTTAATTGATTTTAAATAATAATAAAATTTAAATCTAATCACAATCCTACTTAGAGAAGAGAGGAAATGATTCTAAGGGAAGTGCTCCTAGTGTGTTTAGAACCCATGGTTTAAGAAAATACGATGGAATAAAAATGAACGGTCTGATCAATCAATCAAATGTGATTGATTGATTTTAAATAATTCCTTTGATATTCGGACAGTAATCAAGCTTTTAAAAGTATTGTTTAAATTTTAGCAACTTTGAGATAAGAAATTCATTTGATTAAAATGTGATAAGTATCTTTATTTAAAAATTCGAGGAGAATTATAACGCTCTTAGAACTAGTCTGGTAGTTTTTTGGTAGGTTTTTTTTTTTATATTTATAACAATTTTTGTCAAGTTTCAAGCATGTGTTTTTGGACCATAAACCCCAAAAGATGATGCTTTGGGTGATTAGGGACCTCCTTTGAAATGTAAGGCATGCATGTGTTTAAGATCAATCAAAGCATAGGAAGGTAAAAATTTGCAGTAAGGTAAGATCGGTAAGTTTCTTTGTATTGTGATTCAATTATGTAAGTGGACATGGTAGAGTCCACGTAATCATCCTTTTAAGCTTCATGTAAGTACGAAACAAGCTAAGTTGTGGTACGATAAGGAGCTTTAAGCTCACTAACCCAAGGTAAGATTCCAATACGACAAGGTTAAGATAAATATATTGAAGGTTAAGCTTAAGTATGATTACAATTGACATGGCATAGATTCTATTAATCTCATGTCATGGTTTACATTTTAATATGTATTTTAGAAAAATCTATGTGATCATTGATTTCTTTTGTATCTAATGTAGCCCTTCAACTCAAAAAATAATTTAATGGACTTTTTGATTAATATTTTCTATCATTGACCATTACGATATTGATTTGGCAATTTACGTTGCTAATTGACAATCGACGGAGACTAAATAGGCTAAATTGATTTTTTGATTTTTTTTTTTCAAAGATCGTATTATTTTTATAATGGTCATGAGCTTGTTTATTTAAAAAATAAAATAAAAAATCAGAGATTTGAATATAAAAGTATTCAAATATTAAAAAATAAAATATAAAAGTACTAAAAATAAAATAAAATAATTAAATTATATATATATATATTTAAAATACTATTAAATATATATATATATATATATATATATATCGTAAGCTATAGCATGATAATTTATAAATTACTACAAATTTAAAATATTGATCGGTAAAGAAATATTTAGCTAATAATAAAAAATATGTGATAACTAAAGTATTAGTTCTTAAAAGGAGGTCAACTCCAAAATAGGGGTACTGGATATTCGGACAGTAATCAAGCTTTTAAAAGTATTGTTTAAATTTTAGCAACTTTGAGATAAGAAATTCATGTCTTTAGTGAACTCAAACCCTTCAAATTTGCGACACATAGGCCATCCAACAACACACGATGATAAGGGAGACGATCGATCAGGAAGATGGCAAGGGTGGTATCAACTATGACAACGATTATGACCAACAAGGCATGTTAGCAAGGCATGTTAGAGTTAGAGTTAGTTAGGATTAGGAATTTGAGATTTGAGATTTTTTTTTGTAATTTTAAAAAAATATGCTTTTTTATAAATATAATATTTTTTTATTTTAAAAAAATTATCAAAGTATAATACATATCATTTGAAAAAAATTAACTACTGTTACATTCTAAGTACCTAAAATGATACATTTGTAATGTTAAACATCTAGATGATTCAAAAAAAAAATTGGCTACCTATTTGTAAAAATATATACTTTAGATATTTATTTTAAAATTAAGATTAGAAAATAAAAATAAAAAAGGAAAAATACGACGTCGTTGTCTGGTTTTATTCACATCTTTGTCAGAACGGGGCCCACGCGGTCCAAATTCTCTCTCTCTGTTCTCACTTGCCCTTCCAATCATAAGACCAAAAAAATTAATAAATCAAATCAGATTCTTCCTTTCTTCAGCTTCTACTCTGCTTCAAAGTTCAAACCTGAACTCATGAATAAAGAAAAAAATAATCTTGAAAAAAGAGCATAAAGAAAATAAAAAAGGAAATTAATACTATAATAATTATTATTATTATTATTATTATTATTTCAATTCTTCGACTTTATCGAAACCTCACCGGAGATGGCTACACCACCATCTCTATCACCGATTTCGCCGCCTTCCCCTCCCAACACTACAACTACTGCTCCGCCGTCTTCCCTTCCGAACAATACTGCTCCTCCGACGCCCCCAGTTACTAATAATTCCGATCCCGTGGCTGATTCTCCGAATGGTACGTTTGCAAATTTACTACCGCCGCCACCGCCGCCGCGATCCGTTGAGAGCTTACCGCCTGGGACATTAGCGGGGCTTATAGTAGGGGTGGGGTTGGGAGCGTTAATTGTGCTAATTGGAGCGGGTATCTTTGTAATTTTCTATAGGAGGAGAAAGAAGAAGCTTGCTAACAATTATTCTGGAGCTGCTCCTCAAGGAGGTCAGTCATTTTTTTAATTATGAAATAATTACTCTATTTGATCCCTTAATTATGTTTGTGTATTAATTCTTTATTTTTTGAAGTTCCATTAGTACATTTTTCCTAAAAAAATGTGAGTTTAGTTTTTCAATATTTTTTATGATTCTAGGTTAAAATTGTAAAGTGTTTGTTTAATTTCTATTGTATTTTAATAATAATTAAATCGTGTGAGAACTATATTTGTCTACATTCTGTCAACTTTGTATTATCTATTTATTTATTAGTTTTTTTGGGTATAATAGTGTTTGTTTCTTTAAAAAAAAATATTTTGTTTAATATAGTGAATCTTGAGTTCCTTCCGGTATTTTATAGCATCATTTCATTGGGATTGCTTTGAAACATTGATTTTTGGTTTTCATTGGTTTAATTTGTATAAGAGCTCACGCTCATGACCTAGATGTGCATTGTTGATGCCTTGATAGTATAGGGTAAGACATAGTTTTCTTTTGGAGTTAACTTGAATCAATCGACAGAGAATATACTAAGGTGTGAAGCTTGAACGAGTTACTTTTATCGAGGATTTAAAGTTGTCATGAATTTGTAAGCTATTGTATTCTTTTGTTAATGAAGAAGCAGCCTGCAAGTATCAGTTTTATTGTTCTAATCATGGTGGTCATTTTTAATGTTCCCCCTACTATGCATTTTTAAACCATTTATGAAAGAATGAGGTTTACCCATTTCAGATCTCAGGCCATGAGACATTCATGTCCGAACATGCATACAAGAACATTCATGCATGCATTTGCTCGTACACAAACACATGCATATCTGGGAAAGGGAGGGGTTGGCACTTTAATAATTTTATCTAAGGTGCTTGAATGATAGCCAGTGGTAGTCTGGAAGTGTGTTTCTATTTATGTTTGATTAGCAACAATTAATCATATCGAGGATTGTTTATGTGCTTTTATTTTCATTTGGTTAAGGCATTCTTCTATTTCACTCTTGTATGACATGTTTAAAATGGACAATAATCACTTTATGGTTACAGTGTAATGTCGAATAAATTGAAACATAATCGACACTAAATCTTGCATTTTGTTATACATCCAGTTGATCCCCAACATTGGCAGCAGAGTGTTCCTCAAATTACTGTTCTGCCAAAGCCTACTCCTCCACCAGGAATCACACCACATCTTTATAATTCTGTTGAGCCTCCTTCAACGAGTACTAGTTTGGGCTCAGAAAAACCATCAAATGCATCACCTTCCCCAGTAGTGGCCATGGGACATTCGTTGGGCACATTTACTTATGAAGATTTAGCAATGGCAACTGATAATTTCACTGATTCTAACCTCATCGGTCAAGGAGGTTTTGGTTATGTCCATAAAGGAGTACTAAAGGATGGGAAAGTAGTTGCAATTAAGCAGTTAAAAGTTGGAAGTGGACAGGGTGAGCGTGAGTTTCAAGCAGAAGTCGACATCATTAGCCGTGTTCACCATAGACATCTTGTTTCACTAGTTGGATACTGCATAGTTGGTGTACAGAGGTTGCTTGTTTACGACTTTGTCCCAAACGACACATTAGAGTTTCATTTACACGGTGAGTCATTTTGGTGGTTAAATTCCTCTTCCACCCCACTCCACTCACCTTACTGGCTGTGAGAAGATGAAATTGACTAGCTGAACAAAAAAAGAAGAAAATGAAATTGGGAAGCTAATCATACTTTTTTTCTTTTTGTTTCTTCAATTACTTGCTTCTTTTACTGATACCATCACTCCTTCTTAAAATTTTGCAAAGTTGCTAATACATGTTCCTGGTATCTTTGCTTTCCTTCTATGGGCTTTTGAAGATCCTAATTCAAATGGTTTTCCATACCTCGAGTCCTGGATCAAAGTTTGTATTTTAGTCTTGAAATATTAGATTTCATAAAATAGTGAAAGTACAACAAATTTATTGTATACGGAGGTGGAAATTGTGTTGATGTTTTCTAGCTTTGTTCAGGATTGTGCTTAGCAACAAAAGTAACAAATGATGGTACTTGTATTTGTTTGGCTCTTAGTAATGAGTATGCTTGATAAAGATTCTGATAAAAAAATATAGCTATAAAAAGTTGAAAAAAAACTGTAATATTCTCATGCAGAAGAAAAACAACTAAGTATTTGAACAATAGAGATCTTGCATATTATGGATGATAAATAGGTAATTCATATACTATTGAGTGAAACAAATAGTGCTTTGTATAATCTTGGTCCTGACTGGGTCTTGAACAGGCATAAGGGACAGAATTATAAAATTGAGAATGCACCTTAGATTTAGGATGTATAGCTGTATGTGCATATCTTAACTACGATATGTTTTAACGGGATGAAACATGACATGCAGGAAAAGATAGGCCAGTTATGAACTGGTCAACCAGAATGAAAATTGCTCTGGGTGCAGCAAAAGGGTTGGCATATTTGCATGAGGACTGTAAGGAAACTCTTCCTTGTCTACTTTAAGTTATGAAATTCAAGCAGTTTCATGTTCCCAACAGTTTATACTTTCTTCGCTAAGCATAGATATATAATCAGGTAAGCCCAAGATCATACATCGTGATATCAAGGCAGCTAACATTCTTCTCGATGAAAGCTTTGAGGCAAGGGTATGTCTTCAGTTTTCAAGTTGAATGCTATTTCTCTAGCCACAGGATTGATTTATTCCTTTGCCTTTTGAGGTTGAGGACAAACCATAGTGCATATCTTTTTCTCGATGTTTATATTAGCTCTTTATATGTTTCTTGGAGAAAATGGAACTCTTGATTTAGTTTTGGCATGACACTTGAATGAGAAAAATCCTCCTTTAGATTGGAACAATGAATAGAAAATGAATCTGATCATAAGACTGTTTCAGGATACTTCATCTCAAATTTTGATGAAAACTTGTTCTGAATTTATTGATGTAAAGAAAATTTATTTTTGATTCAAATGGCCTACGGTCCATGATTCTTTTTCAAAGCAAGCCTTTCAGCCTCTTGCCTTTATGTTTTTTCCAGCTTGCAGATTTTGGACTTGCAAAGTATTCTTTAGATACTGATACTCATGTATCCACTCGAGTGATGGGAACTTTTGGGTAATAAATGTATTTTCACTTATTTCCCTTGCATTTGATATTGTTGCACTACAGAAATTATGGCTCAGTCCATGCTATTTTGCGGCACATTTTCCTTTCATATTTAGTCTTTAACAATCATATGCATCTCTTCTCACAAGAGCGTGTATTTGCAGTTACATGGCTCCAGAGTATGCCTCCAGCGGGAAGCTCACTGAGAAGTCGGATGTTTTCTCCTTTGGGGTTGTGCTTCTGGAGATGATTACTGGATACCGCCCCGTTGATAAGATTCAGCGTTCTTTGATGATAGCATAGTTGATTGGGTTTGTACTCAATTTATCAGTATTACTTCATTTGATGTGTGTATATATATAATCTAGTTAATTATGAAAATTTTCCCCTTTTAAGTGATTTTTAATGTTAAAAAGATCTTGTTTTCATTTCAAATGTTCAAAACAAAGGTTCGGGCCCCACTAGAATACGGACGTGCAATTGCTTGATCTTGCACAAATTCTATGGCCTCTCTCAGATCCCCAGTTTTACTAGTGCTTCACTGGCATGGAATGAATAACAAATCTTTTATTTTGAATTCTAGGCAAGGCCTTTGCTCTCGCAAGCTTTGGAACATGGAAATTTTGATGCATTTGTGGATTTGAGGTTACAGAAAGACTACGACTCCAATGAAATGACCCGAATGGTTGCTTGCGCTGCAGCTTGTGTGCGTCATTCGGCAAGGAGTCGCCCACGGATGAGCCAGGTTTCTTTTACTAACTGCTTAATTTTAAGTTTTAGTCCTTAATCAACATTTCTTTCATTTGATCAATTAGGTAAATGTTCTAGAGTCGAGTTGTCAGATTTTTCTGAACCATGTTAACATGTTGTCACTAGCACAAGTTAAATAGTTGGTATTTATTATTTTTCACTTTTCAGTAACCTCTTCTAACTCTAGGCACATTTTACTCATTTGGGAATGTTTTCACCTTTTAATTTATAGCTATGTATTTGTTCCAAATCAATGGTATGATGCTTAGACAGTCAGATGTGTGTATGTCCGACATGAGTATGTGCAAGTTCTTCCATGTATTTGGGTCAATGGAGAATCATATCCCCGTACTTGTTACAAATTCATGAACCTTTCTATCTCTTAATGCAGGTAGTTCGAGCCCTGGAAGGAAACATTTCTCTGGATGATTTGAACGAGGGAATCACTCCCGGGCACAGCAGAGTGTTTGGTTCCTTTGAAAGTTCTGATTACAGCTCAACCCAATACAAGGAAGATCTGAAGAAGTTCAGGAAGATGGCACTGGAGAGCCAAGAGCTTGGTAGCAGTGAATACAGTGAGTATGTTGTTAACCCATCTAGCTCCAGCACTGAAGGACAACAAAGTACCAAATCGAAACATCGAAAGCTGAGAAAGAAACCAAAGATATAAGTCGGAGCTCGTAACAAGATCTGTAGTGAAATTTGCTGGGGCAACAGTAAGGGGTCTTTTCCAGCCGGCTTTATTATATTCATTACTGCCTCATTGCAACTAGGTTGAAATCTGAAATTTCTGGAAGCTGCGAAATGGCAGCCATGGTATTTGGTTTAGGTAACTGAGGTGGATTTTGTCAATTCCATCTATTTAGGAGTAATGTGATTGTTTAGTCTCAAAACCTCTACTGCGTGTATATTTGATGTAGTTCACGGCTAGAATGTTCAATGCTGTATCAAATTCTATAGAGGATCTTCAATGAAATTGCATTATTGCTTCAGTATACGCTATGTTGTACCATGGCTTGATGGTACTATACGCTATGTTTAATTTAAGATATTTCCTCTATTTTAATAAAATTGACTGTTTCTATTTGCATAAAAAAAGACTTCCCACCAACGATAATCTGATAATTAATTGTATGCGGTACTCTTGGAAAGTATATATAGTTCTTTTATATATAATTTTTGATTTTTTTAGAATTAAAATTAAATTGTTTAAATATATAAATATTAAAGATGAAAATTCATAAATTATTTGAAATCAAGGCAAATTTAATGTGATAAATGAACAATGAGGTTAAATACGCTGCTATATTAAGTTAAAAAAATGGCTAAAGTACACAAATGATTATCTTACTATAGGACTCTATTTTATTGAGTCTCATGACTATTAAAAGCTATAAAATGGTCTCTTATATGTAGGATATTGCTTTGACTGAGTCTCTCGACTATTAAAAGTTATAAACAGTCATCTATATATAGGATATTGCTTTGGTTGGGCACCTCGACTATTAAAAGTTAAAAAATGGTCACTCGACTATTCATTATATTCCAAATCGTCATTTTCTGTTAATACATTGACTGCAATATAAGGTGGATGTTAACTTGCTGACTGAAATATGATAAAATATAATCTCAAACGACTATCATACCTCAGTCAACATGTTAACGTCAAACTCATACGACCGTCAATTTTTTTAATGGAATATGACAAGTTTAGACCATAATGAATAACCGTGTGACCGTTTTGAAATTTTTAGTAGTTGAGGGACTCAACAAAGCAACATCCAATAGAAGGATCATTTTTTAATTTTTAATAATCGAATGACTCAACAAAACAACATTATATAGTAGATAGACTATTTGTGTACTTTAGTCTAGAAATTTACATCATCCTTACCGTTAATCATTTAAGGGAGATAACTAAAGCATAACCAATAAAAAATACTAATGATAAATTAAAAGCTTTATAATTTAGTGAACAAAACAGAAATACTTTATTGGGTGACTAATGCTATAATATACAGTCAGAAAATGTTTTTGAGAAAATAACCTCAGTGACCGAAAATTCTTATAATATACGATTCTGACCAACTTTTTTTCGATTTGCCAAAAGACCAACAAAATCGCAATGCAATCTCTAAATCGCAATGCGGTCTCCAGTATCGCAAATCAGTTTCCAGATTCGCAACGCGATTTTGACTATCGCATTGCGATTTTAGAAAATCGCAATGCGAATATGTAAATCGTAACGCGATAATACATAATCGTAACTCGATTCTGACTATCGCAACGCGATTCTGACTGTCGCAACACTGAATTTCAAATTCGCAACAGGTTTTAGTTTCGCAACACAAATGTTTTGGGTATATAACTACGCAGCAACAATTCATAACCAAAATCTCTAAATCGCAACTCATTTCATCTCCATCTATCACTCTCTCCAACGACATCCGTTCCTATATCCAACGACATCCTTCCCCATCCGGCAACAGGTTTTAGTTTCGCAGCTCGTTTGTTTAGTAAATTAATTTACAATAATAAAATCATTTAATGTTGATCATGTTTGGATATATTTGTGTTTTGGAGGGTCATGAGAGAATGTTCATGGTGTTTTACAATATATGCCTTTACCCATGAATCTTCAACTAAAACTGTCATTAAAAAAGTTAACTTATGAAACTCTAATGTTACGTGTTGCAAATAAATTGAATTTAGAGCCCCTAAGTGGATTTAGGTTATCTTATCAAAGAAAATGTAAAGTTTATTTGTTAACCGACAATGAAGATGTTGAACGATTCATTGCTTACATTAGTGTTTCGCAAGATAATGTTACATTGTATGTTATTGAACCTAGAAGTAGTGAAGTTGGGTCAGTAACGAGTAGTAATCAACTAAGTTTTTCAACCCCAGTTTATGGTGCTCAAAATTTAATGGTTCCACCACAATTTCATCACCAAGCAAATTTTGTTTCACCACATTTCCAATACCAAACACAATCTCAAAACCCACAACCTTTCCCTAATTCAAATCCCAATCAACTTTCAGCACCAAATTTCAGTTTTCGTATTGACCAGTTAGACGATGATGAGCCAATAGAAAAAATTGTGAGTACTAGTCAGTATTCGAAATTTGATCTTGGTCAATACCCGGACTTTGATCTTGGTCAATACTCAGATTTTGATGGTGTTTCAGAAGAAGAAACAGACCCTGCGTATAATGATGTTGATATTGGTCAATACCCAAATTTTGATGATGAAACAGCTGCTGCCGAGGAAGATGTTGTTGATGATAATGAGGAGGAAGTTACGACTGTGAATGAACATGTTGAACATCCATTCTGTAATTCATATAACCCTGAAGAAGAAAAGAAGAAGAAGAAGAAATCCCCGAAGAAAAGTCCCCGAAGAAAATGCCACGGGAGTATAACTGGAATATGCCAGAATTACTTCAGATACCGGAAGAATAGTTGGTAAAGATAGCAGTTGATTGTTACAAAAAAATTATTCGTATCAAGAAAGATGATTGTTTTGATACAAAGGAAGACTTGAAGATAGCTTTGTATACGAAATGTGTGGAAGATGGCTATCAACTAAAAGTTAACAAATCATGCAAAGATCGTTTCGAAACAAGGTGTATGATTGACAAAAACTGTACGTGGCGTATGATTGCAAAGAGGATAAAGATTGCGAAATGTTTCAAATTAGGAATTTTATTGATAAACATACATGTTCAAGAACCCAAATTTTTCCTCACCATAGACAGGCAAACAAAAAGGTGTTGGGTGGTTTTCTGGCTGAGTTAATGTTTTTGAATGACAGGGTATATCGGGGACATGAAATTATGACTGACATGAATGCTCGGTTCAAGATTAGTATCTCATATTCTCAAGCCTGGAGAGCCAAATGTTATGCCTTGGAATTGTTGAAGGGGTCGCCAGAATCATCGTTTGCCCAACTGCCGGCTTATTGTCACAATTTAAAGCTGAAAAATCATGGGTCGGTAACTCATATCAAAACAGATAGAGATGGACACTTTGAGTTGTTGTTTATCGCCATTGGTGCTGCGGTTAGTAAATCAATATAATTTTGTTGACTCATTTTTGTTAGTTACATGCATTTCATATTTAAATGATTATATTTTTGTGTATATTATTTTGTAGATTCGTTCGTTTATTACTTGCATGCGCCCCAATTGACAACGCTGTTAGAAGGTGTTTCCCAAATGCTTTTCATGGACTTTGTGGTGTTAATTTGTATAGAAATCTAAAATCAAGGTCTGATGGTATAAAAAATCACAAATGGACATACTGGAAGGCTGTAAAAGCTTATCGGGAAGTGGATTTTAATAAGCATATAAATTGTTTAAGACGTGTTTTGCCTCAGTGTGCTCAAACACTAGAAGATGTCGGGTTTGAAAGATGGTCAAGAGTACATCAACTTGGAGCAAGATATGGTTTCATGACGTCTAATAGTGTAGAATCAATCAACGCTCTAAGTCGTCATTCCCGGAAATTACCCATTACTATGTTAATGGAGTTTTTTTGAGCCTCTATTCAACAGTGGTACTACAAGAAAAGAAACCATACATGTATTATTTCTTTAAATTCGTAACTTATCATATATTTTACTAAGTATTATTTATTTAAATTTATAGGAACATTGGAACCTCGTGTTACACCATGGACTGAAAAAAAGATAACGAAACGTGTTGTGAAGTCAACATCATGGAGAGTTGAACCATGTTCAAACACTTTGTTTGAAGTATTGGATAATAACTTAAATGGGCTTGTCGATCTAAATGCAAAGACGTGTAGTTGTATGAAATGGCAAACATCTGGTTATCCGTATGGCCATGTTATAAAAGTTGCTCTTCATCTAAACCAAGATGATTCAAGCGCATACGCTATGGATTGCTACACTACAGAAGTATATCGACAGACTTATGCCGAGATTATCTACCCCATTCCACATCCTTCTGAGTGTGACATACCAGATGACTTACAAACAGTTTTGCCACCAGCTATGGACAGAAGGCTACCTGGCCGACCAAAAAGTCACGATCGTATACCGTCTAAGGGTGAAGAGAAGAAGAGATCGACATGTAGTCGGTGCAAGGAAAGTGGTCATACAAGGTTGACATGTGGATCGCCAATGCCATCACAATCATCTTTTCCTCTACCAATATATGGATCCTTATCAAAATCCAAAGCTCATATGGTGTCAAGCAAAAGGCAATCAAAATTGCAATCAAAATCAAAATTACAATCACAACCGGCTTCACCTTTTGGGACTATTAACTTAGGTGATTTTTAAATACAAACGTTGTATTATGTGTATTTTATGTGTAAACTTTTAACATTTTCAGTTAGACATGTATTAGTAACTTGAGTTTGAACATTGCTATGATCTGTTCAGTTGTTATCACTTATTACACATTCATTTGAATATCGCAACGCGAATTTGACTATTATGTGTATTTTATGTGTAAACTTTTAACATTTTCAGTTAGGCATGTATTAGTAACTTGAGTTTGAACATTGCTCTGATATGTTCAGTTGTTATCACTTATTACACATTCATTTGAATATCGCAACGCGAATTTGACTATCGCAACGCGAATATGACTATCGCAATGTAAAATCGCAACGCGAATTTGACTATCGCAATGCGAATTTGACTATCGCAACGCGAATATGACTATCACAACGCAAAAATCGCAACGCGAATTTGACTATCGCAATGAGAAAATCGCAAAGCGTATTAGACTATCGCAACGCGAATTGACTTTCGCGTTGCGATTTTGGCTTTCGTATTGCGATTTTGAGTTTAGCGTTGCGAAAGTGTACCTTCAACAGGTCTTTTGCCTTCAATATGATGCAGATTGAAATCAACAAATCAACTTTTACATTTCAATCAATTAAAAAGCACAAATAAGAATTATTTACACATCAATTAAACAAATCAACTTTTACAAACCAATTAAACAAGCAAAAAAT